GGACGTGCGCCTATTTTTTTGGTACTTTTTTATTTTCTCTTTTTTTATCGTGTGCTTTAGTGCGCTGAATCGAATTGGATTAACAATTTTTTTTTCGCATGTATCGTTCACTCTATTGAGGCAACGCCTTTTTCACAAGAATTTTTTTTTATTATGTGCACTTTTTCATAATAAACAGCTCTCGACTTCTACAACGATCATGACACTCGAACAGTTTTAGTTTTAATAAACTCGAGTACGAAGCGAGTTTAAGCTTTTATACTCTCCACTGGCGTCGACGTTCAATGGCGGCGCACGCAGCGTTGCAGAAAAAAGTTGAATTCCGCATGCGTGTGTTTATGTGTGTATACATATATCTGTCTCCGTGTGTGTGCGCGATCGCTGCTTTCGTATATGCTTCATTTTATTATTTTGTTGACTTTTTATATTCGAATTCTTGGCCAGCGAAATACATACAGAAACGAAACGACGACGGAATGAACATTTTGCATCTTTCGATCGTCGTTTATATTGGCAATGGCGATGGCTCTGCCGGCGTCGCGACTGCGTCGCTGTCGCTGTTGCTGCTGCTACTGCTGCTGCACACACGCACACACTCGCACACATATTAATATGAGTTACTTGAGCATCATTTTGTTTTGTATTTCGGGTTGCCGTTTTTCACTTCGCTTTTTTTCGGCCAATTGTTTTGCTTCATTTTTTTGGGCGATTTCACACACACATACACACTCATAAGCATTGATATCTGTTCTTTCTGCAGCCTGCGTCGCCCACTCTCCCAGCCATAGGCCCCGTTGCCAGACGTGTCGTTGTCGCTTCTGCTACTCTTCTCTTTTCTTCTCTTTCTCTTTTTCTCTTGCTGCTTGTATTTTGTTCTGGTTGCTGTTATTTTTTTTTTTTGCTTTGCATGGGTGTTGTCGCTGACTTTTTCTAAGGGCGCAAATTAAGTTCGACTCATTAAACCGGTCGACTCTTAAGCCAGCATCTGAAACTTAAGCGAAAAGTTGTAGTTCATCAAGGAACAAACACTAACAATAAGAAATTTCCTGCTGTTTTGGTCAGTCGCCAAGTTATTGACCGACTTAGCTGTAACTTGAGCATATGAAACTTAATTCGGTTTGGGCATTGGAGAGAATTATCAACCAGCAAGGCGCCAGATGACATCCCAAATCTCCGCTACTTTACTTGCTGGAACTGTAACGGTATTTTGGCCATTGTAACTGTTGTTCAAGCTTGTTATGAAGAAGTAGGTACGATGATATTACATATTTACATGTACTTGAGCCTTTATTCTGTATTATTATTTATGTATGTACATGTATGCTAAAAACGTTGATAAATCAACTTGAACTCTATGCACGCGCTGCATTTGATTAAGCACAATGTACACATATACGTACATACAACATATGTAAATGGTTGCACAGAAACAAATTTATATGCATATGTGTATGAATGTTTGTTTGTATCAGTTGTCGTTCATGTTTTATTTTTGCTTTAGATCGAATGCAGTGAACTCAACAACGACTTTGCGCTTGTTTCTTTCAAAATAAATATAATATACATAGGTACGTACATATGTATGTACATTATTTAAAACATGAATGTCATGCTTGCCCGAAGACGAGATATGCTGTAAAAAATTTTATCTAGTTTTAATTTTAAAAATTTAATAAAGTTTTCTATCTTCTTGCATTCAATTACTTAGCTTTATTACATTTACTTTTACTGTAACTGCAGAGTATATAAAAATAATAAATAGTAAAAAAGTGGCTTTGATAAAATCAAAAGAAATTATTTTCGCTGAGTTCAACCTGTGTAGAATAAGCAACTCAATGAAGCAGAGTCTACAACAAAGTCTCCCGTGGTCGTCGATCTTCATCTACTTTTCCATCTGTTGTTGACGCTTTTAATTGGGGCGTAAATTGCTGTAAATGAAAAAGAAACAAAACCAAAAACCAACCAAATTGCAGTCGAAAAGCACCGAACATCAAATTTGGATGAAGAGCTTGCATTGAGTTCATTGGCACCAAATGTATAGCTCCATGTAGAATTTATTTATCACTTGAAATATTTTGCTAACAAATTGCAGTCAATGACATTACTCGCCATACAAATGCATACACACACAGGCGCAAGTTTGGCAACGGATGTGCTGCGCCTGTATGCGTGGGCAGGAGTTGGAGCAGCGGCAGAGTGGAAAAGAGCAAGAGGAGAGAAACACACAGAGAGTGAGCTGAGAGAGAGAAAGAGCGGACAACAGGTCACGCAAGCGTGCTAAAGTTTATTCATCTCGCCCAAAATGCGCAGCAGTTTACAAAAAATCGACGGCAAGTCTGAATTTTTGAGGCGAAATCAATGGATTGAATGATGATGAGGAAGGAGCGAGACGGGGCGATATGTGCAAAGAGAAGTTTGCGCCGAAGCTCCTGCTCAGACACACTTGTGCAAAGAACAGACAACAACAACAACAACAGCAACAAAAAGCTGCATGTGTGGGTAGCGCAAAATCAGGAGGAGAAGGAAGGCAGGAGAACAGCCGACAACAGCAACAACAAAATTGTTTAATTATAAATTGTAGAAAAGCAAAATAGTCAAGCGAAATGAGTGAGCGGGCGAGCGAGATAGATAGCGAGGTGAGTGCGAGATGAAGATACGTTTTTGTTGAAGGACACACACGGTCTTTAAAAGTGAGTAATGCACTAGAGGTTATTGACTCCGTCTCCGTCTCATGTTGTTGTTGTTGCCGGTTTTTTCGCTTGTTTTTTGCACTGCCCGCTGCCCACATATACATATGTACATGCAAGTGTGTGCGTGTGTGTTTGTAGAATCTTTTGTTATGCGTCTTTTCATTTTTTGGCGTTGTCGTTGCTCGATAGCTGCCTCCTCTCTTCGCTCGCTCTTTCCTGCTCCCTCGCCCTCTCCCTCTTTCTCTACCTCATGCTCGCTCGTTCATTCTTTCTCTCTGTTTGTGTGTGTGAAGTCAAAGTGATTAAACTTTATGCGCAATTTATTTTGCATTCACAATCAGTACAACAACAATAACAACAACAATTTATTGTTTAATTTTGACTTAACAAATAATTGCTGTAACAGGTTCGAGTTAGCAGCACGTATACGTAATTTTATGAGTCCAAATAGCTCAGCATGCCATTTGCCTTTGACATTTTGACAAAATAAAGAGGATGCACAGATTAGGCTAAGATCTTTAAGTATATTGTGCTTATCGTAGATCTTATTGCCTATTAAACTCTATCTCATGTAGTGCGCTAGCTTCTGCCCTGAAAGCTCTGTTAACTGTTTTGCCTTATTCTGTCTGTTCTTTGCTCATCTCATCTTTAACCAAAGTTGGTTGTTATCTTGGACTGCAATTTAGTATTTTAATGAAAGTTTAAGCAGCCTTCGTTCATTAGGCTTAAATTTGCTTTCTAATCTACATATCTCTATCCCTCCTTCGGTAAGCTTTTCTTTGATCTGCCTAACCTCACACTGCACTAATCTTAATCTATTTTTCGTTATTTCATATCTTAAGCTGCTTAAGCATTAAAATTCACGCGACTGCAAGATGACACAACATTTAGGAATTTGACTGGCTTTCCGGTTTGGGCGTGTTGCATGCTGCAACTGTGGCGCGTCGCACGCGGCAGCAACATGTGTCCAGATGCGGGTGTTAAAAACAGTTGCGGCGAAAAGGATGCCAGAGCTCTGTGGTTGCAATTGCGGTTAAAGTTGACAAGCAGCAGACGCCACACACAGCAAATTTGCAACAGTCGCCATGCAGATGTGTGTATGTATGTTTGTATATACATATATGTGTGTGTGTGTGCATGTCTGAATGCTTGCGTGTGTGTGTCTCCGAACAGATGCGCACAATATGGTGCATTAATTTTAGCTCCTGCCGGACGACACAAACCAGGGACCCAGTTGCAGTTGTTGCTGCAGTTGTCAGTGTTGCTGCTGCTGCTGCTGTCGCTGCTGCTGTTGTTGTCGTTGTTAATCGTCTTGACAGGCAGCCGCTTCAGCTTCGTGCGTGCCACTCCAAGGCCAGCGCAATATTTTACACTGCAAACGTCGCCTCGATCGTCAGTCGGCGACTTCCGTCAGCGTCTCCTCCACCATTCGCATCAGGTCGGCTGTGGCTGCTGTGGCTGCTGTTGCTGCTGTTGCTGTTGCTGCCTCCACCACAACCTCCCTCACACTACTGCCAGCACCTCCTTAGCCACTACCACCTCCACCCACTCTACTGCCAGTGCGTCATATAGCGATCACTGGGCGCATGGAGCGGGCGGCGCGGAACGTGAAACGTGGAACTTTGAACGGGAATGGCAATGGGAACGTACATATTTTAGCTGGCGCTGCATTTTCATGGCTGGCGTCTCAGTTTTCGCCTTGGCGAATGTGTGCTCAAAGAATACCCTCGGTGCATTTGTAAGTGGGTATATTAGTGGCTCAATATACGGCGTAAAAATAGATAAATTTCGATACATGCAGTACTTTATGGCAGTGGGATTTATGTGGTATTGTTTTAATGTATAGAAAGAAGCAGAATTTTCCTTGTTGCATACGGCGCTTCTTTAAATGACATTGTAAAGTACAGGGTATCTTCTATTCGTTCGCTCACGATCGCTTTTTATGGCCCTGTGTTTTATCAACGCCAATACTCCCGCCCACGCCCGCGACACCAAGTGGAATCAGGCAAGCTGCTCAGATATCGAGTCATTTCATTATAATTATGGATTTGATCGATTTACCCTGATTCATGCGAGCTCCAGACTTAGCAATACTTTCTATCGATTCGACAGACAGATACAAATAAAATACGACGGGGAGTATTAAGTAACGGTACATAAATATGAAGTGTCAATTACTGGAGTAGACTAAGCACATAGAAACCTAGAGAAAGTTCCATTTCGCTCTAGAGTTTAGAATAGAGCGGTAGTATAGAAAAAAAAAGAAAAGGCTGTCAGGAAAATTCCCTGGACTGTGAAACACAAGTCAAGAATTCTAAATGTATTTTACATAGAATTCTATAGATATAATAAAGTATTCTGAAAAATGGATATCCAAGCTAATTTCTTTGTCACGCAGTGAGTAACTTAGCGAGTTCTATCAAATTTCCATCTCATGCTTGCCTTTATTCGACAGCTATTATTTCTTGGGCACCCTGGGCTTTATTTTAACGGGAATAGTTTTGACGGTGCCCACGATACGTGACAAGTTTCGTAAGCAATATACGAAATTTCGCGCGAAATCGATGAACTATACCCCCATAACATATATGCAGGATGATAGGCTAACGGCAGTATCGAAAAAGCGCTTGCTCATGGTGCGTCGCAAAACTTTAGTTTTAGATATGGACGAGACACTGATATCGTCTGTGATACTGTATCGGATGAAATCGTTGCTAGAAGCAGGACCCGAAGACAATCGGCGTTACAAGGCGAAGTCAAAAATCGTACACTCAATGCCATATGATTACAGCTTCTATATACCCATGTCGGAGGCCAGCGTCTATGTCTATAAGCGACCCTACGTCGATCTGTTTTTGGATCGGGTCTCCAAGTGGTATAATCTGGTAGTCTTCACCGCTGCCTCGGAGGCTTATGCCTCTCAAGTGCTGGACTTTCTAGATGCTGGTCGAAATATACTGAAGCGTCGAATGTTTCGACAGCATTGCATCGAGATCTGCGGGATTCGGGCGAAGTTTGTGTCGCTGGCCCGTAGTGATCTGGCCAGTGTGCTGCTTCTCGACGATTGCCCAATGGAGAACAGCTTCAATATTGGCAATTCGGTGAACATTAAGAGCTATCGCATCGGTTCGCAGGACAATGAATTGCTCTGCATGCTGCCTTTTCTGGATGCCCTGCGATTCACTCGCGATGTTCGCTCTGTCCTGGGTCGCACCACTCGCTTCGATTGCCTCGCCACTTGCTTGGAATCGCATATCTACGAAGCTGAGGAAGATGAAGACGATATACATAATTCATTCTAATCAGGTTAGAGGGCTATTGATTGGTCGCTAATCTTTTGCTTTATTTCTTAACAACTTGAAATTCCTAAGAGCATTCGATATTTTGTAGTCCTAGATAGGTATAGATCTCTTCTTTATCGATATAGTTATATAGTCCATATAGTTCCGACATCATATCTACTCTTTGCCTTCTCTATGATCTATTGTATATCCATTAATATATTTGTATTTAGTTACAATAACTTCTTTTCATTCTCTGTTTTCTTCTGTCTTTGCCTTGACTCCCTTTAGTTCATATCCGAATCTTAGTCATTCGTTGATTTCTTTTCGCAAGGCCTCGATTATTAGTCACTTTACAAGTGAATCACTAGCGACATCGACAACGACAGCGACAGCGACTTTGCCTTGGGCCAGGTTGCTGCCCTGTAAGCCGGCTATATTAATCTGGCTCGATTCATGAACTCGAGCAGCAGTGCGATGTGGTTGAATGAATGTGCACGACCAAAAGATAATCTGAATCAATGAGATTTAGGGAATGTAAATGGGCAATTGTGATCTAAATGTAGTTTTATGCCAAGAAGAATCGATACATATAAAGATAAGTCCTAGAGAGATTTGAATCTGCTCCATTGTCCAATTTGAGCGATAATTATCGATTAGTCACTCTTTATAAGCAAGGAAGTCGTACGAGCAGCACGTATGAAAATCAATTGTAGACGATCCCAACTCCTCCCTGGCTAATGTAGAGCACCTCCATACCATGCGCTATAGTTATACAGGGTATACAAATAGGCAAATCGATTACTGTCGCTGTCGGGTGAATGTGGAATCATTTAACGCTTTATATATATTTCATATATTGAATTTGGCTGGTAAGATGTTCCTTTGTTAAGCTTCTTGACCAGGCAGTCAGGGCGCGGCAATTAAGTCACCATCAGCAACAGCCCCAACAGCAGCCACACAGCAAGCGGCACCATCAACACCAACAACAACAACAGCAAGTGGAGGGGTGCGCGAATTTCCAGCGAAGATCATTATTGTCTCGCCGCGGATGCTGGCGGCATCCAAAAAAAAAAAAAAAAAAAAAAAAAAAAAAAAAATGAAGCAAGCAAACAAGTTAATGAACCAGCAGCAAACGTCGCGGATCCTTGAACTCGAGTCGAGTCGAGTCGTCCAACTAGTTTGGCTTTGGCTTTTGGAACCAGAACCAAATCTGTGGCATGAATTCTCTGGAAATGAACGAAATTTCATTTCGAAAACAACAGAAAAAAATGAGTTCAACAGCATTCCGGTCTGGTCTGCTGCTCCTTCTGTCTGGAGGTGGATCGACTGCAACGGCAACTGCGCAGCTTAACTTTCCATTATCCTTGAGGCTGGAGTCATTGCCCCCGTCTCGCATTACACAATTGCAGAAGAGTAGTGGGAGGGGCGGGCTTAGGGCGGCATCTCGAATTCGCCGCTCGAGTTACACAGAAGCAGGAGAACTCCAGTGGCCTACTTCCACTTGAATGGGAATTAATGGAATTAATGAAACAAAGGCTAGCCAGGCAGCCAGGCAGTCAGCGGGCAACCCCATCTCGAAGCTATTGCGATCCTGTGACCAGGCCAAAGACAAAGAAACTCATTTTGTCGCATGCAAAAATTAATACAAAACAAATTCGAATGAGAGCTGACGGCTCACACACATGCATGCGTGTGTGTGTAGAATTTTATTTTTATAACTGACCTCGAACTTTTGTGCAATGTGATTGAACTGCTGCGATATCTGCATGTGTGCTTATGAGAGTGTGTCTGTGTGTGTGTGTGTATGTATGTTGCAACTGCGCTCCCGCTCCCTGCTGCTACTCTCTACACTCTTCCTCTCCACTCTTCCTGCTCTGAGAGCATTTGCATGCAGACTGCATACGCGAGTTGGTCGGAAAGTGGCAGCGATAATGTCGCCGCTTGAGCTTGAGCTTGAGCTTGGGATAGGAATCGGAATCGAAATCGGGATCTGGATGCGATGTGACCGTTGACAAACAATATGGAAATTCAGAGAGGAGGGGGAATCGCAAATCGCAAATGGCAAATGGCAAATGATGGCTGATGGCTAGCGAGTGCATTGCCATAGCGCGAGAGGAACGAGGAGGGGAGGGGGAATTGCAGTCGACAACAACGTTAAATGCATAATAAATGTGCGTTTCAAGAGGCCTGCGAATATAACATGCGTGCTGCGACTCGGTTGCACTTTCAATGAGCTAAAACAAAAAGAAAAAAAAAAACAAGAACTATATATATTAAAATGCAGTAAGAGGCGATAAGAACATTGGCGCAAGAGAGTTTGGAGAGGGAGCAGGCGGAAAGTCCACTGCATGGCGATGACAAGAGAGAGTCAGAGTGTGAGTGAATGATAGGGATGGGATTATTTTTGGGGAAGGGTTATAGAGCCAGCTATAAATGCGGGTAGCCCACTGCGTTCCGATGCGATAGTGCCCTCGGCCACGCCCACTTCAAAACAACACAAACAAATTTCATTGACTATTGTAATGCACTCAACGGTTGCTGCTGCTGCTGCTGCTTCTGTGCTGACGTCGATAAAACGCCATTCAATTGAAGCACTGAAAGAGAAACAGTAAGAGAGAAAGCAGACGGTACAGTTCTTTATCAGGAATACATTCACTGCTCGCCGCTCGCTGGTCGCTGTCTCCGCTGCTGTGCAAATATTTAATTTAGTTTTTGTTTTGCTTCATTTTTTAACAAGAAATAAAAAAGCAGAGAAGAAAGACAGCAAAACAAACAAGCATAGAGTAAGAAGAAAAAAACAGTGGCGGGTAGATCAAGCAATGGGGTTAACTTATGGACCCCTTGTCAAATCGACATGTACGCCCCTGACCAACAGCAAGCACGAAATTGCTTAGCTGACGTCATTTGTCCTTGAATTCGTTTGCCGCAAAGCAGAATTCGCAAAATTCAATGCACTTGGCAGACCCAAAAAAAAGAGCCCGAAAAACACAAAATAAAACAAAGCAAACCAAAGCGAAGCTGAGATAAGAGCATTGAGAGAGTGAAAGCGACTGAGCTTAGTGCCCACCGTATATGTATGTATGTTTGAGCACTGACCAGAGAACACATAGACTAGACATGTAGAACAAACTTTTTCAACACCGRAAAAATGCSCTGAASRGAYCGGACAACTTCGTATTTGGTCGGCTCGGTCTTCTGAGGCTCAAGCAGTGAAAATAAGGCAAGACAAAATCAGTGTGCTGCGACTGCTGCCACGAAATGCACGCATTACNGTAATGCGTGCATTTCGTGGCAGCAGTCGCAGCACACTGATTTTGTCTTGCCTTATTTTCACTGCTTGAGCCTCAGAAGACCGAGCCGACCAAATACGAAGTTGTCCGGTCCGTTCAGCGCATTTTTTCGGTGTTGAAAAAGTTTGTTCTACATGTCTAGTCTATGTGTTCTCTGGTCAGTGGTTTGAGGCAATAATTCAACTGTACAAACTTTATGCATTAAGTGGAAATTAAATAAACAATTAAACAGATTATATGCTATAATGCATACTCACATATATACATATGCATGTATGTGTTAATTAAACCAAAATGTTTCTTTTCATTTAAATGCGAATTCAAATTGAAATTCATTTCAAACAAATTGTAGCCGTTAGCCTTTGAGCATAAAGCTGTTAAAAGCTGAAAGCTATGGAACTCACGCCTGCCTAGGCCCGCTTTCAAATATAGCATTTATTGTTATTGGTTTGGCATTTCACAAATGGATTTTATTTAGATTTTAAATTACAGAAAAATTTGCATTGTAGAAGTAGTAGGTAAGCAGCGAGTTTCAATTAAAAGCTTTGATAAATTACTATCGATAGTGGATACGATATTTGGCGTGTTGCAATTGCTTATTTATCGAAAATGAGCACAAGAACTATAACAACTCGCGATTGTTGAAACATTTTGTTAAAGCAATAATTTAAGCAAAAATTGCAACTGCAACAAACGTAGATCACGTGCCGCTGACGCATTTAGCAGTCTCAAAGGAGTTCAACGCGAGCACTCAAGCGGTTGCCATATTAATGTATTTGCACAAATTAAACGGCCAGCTAAAGTTGTTAATGTTTTGCCAGGTGAGCTTAACAACCACTTCTTGTGTGCGTATGCGTAAGTGCTATATTGATAGTGTTACACAGGCATTGTTCTAAACTCTCCTCCGTCTATATTTAAATTGTCAAGTGTGAGCTAGATACGGAAGAGAAGTGCATTCATGCATTGCCACACGTTTATTAATACAGCTCGCTGGCGGAGAGGAAGAGAGAGAGTAGAGACAACTTTGAGGAGTTTTCTTATCAGCCGTTTATCAGTTGTTACTGCTGGCCTTGGGAGTTTGCCCTTTGCCCGTATGAACTCCAAACAAATGACACATAAAATATCGATATCGATATACTACATACATACATACATAACATATAAAAAGAGTATATATGTATATAAAGTATATGTATGCAGCTGCTTTTGTAATCTTTACGTTTGTTTGCTGCGGTCTTATGCGGGTCGTATCATTAAATTTGATATGCTAATCTCCCTGTTTATCTACTTATATACTTATACACTCTGTTTAATTTGCTGTCACAGATAATCAACGCAAATTGATAAGAAGCCACAATTAAAGTCAAGAGAAGATGGGCCAAACACTGTCCGAACCGGTGACCGCCAAGGAATCATCCTACTGCCAGAATCAAAAGTATCGCGTTGGCAGTAGCTGTATGCAGGGATGGCGCATCAACATGGAGGATTCCCATACACATATACTGGCCCTGCCCGACGATCCCTCGGCAGCGTTCTTTGCCGTCTACGACGGCCATGGTGGGGCCACAGTCGCCCAGTATGCGGGCAAGCATTTACATAAATTCGTGCTGAAGCGGCCGGAGTATAATGAGAATGATATTGAAAAGGCACTAAAGCAGGTGAGTAACGCTATTTAAATAAATTATATAGAAAAAAAAAAACCAGTTACAACACAACAAAACAAATCAAATCTTAACTTCATATTTGCGCTCTCAACGAAATGTAAGCTTAATGAGATCGAGCTGGTGGCTCTCACTTTCGGGACTTCAAACTTGCGCTCTCTAAAGGGCGTAAGCCTAATGCCTAATGCGATAGAGCGACATGGATGTTCTCGCACTCAGTCTCGCTCCTCTCTTAACGGGAATTTTCACGTAATCTTTTTAGCTTTCTCTCAATTGTGCTTAGCGCACCCTTTATTCATATTTTCAAATTCGGCCTATTCTTTTTTGCGCAGGGTATTCAAACGTTTAGCATTTAGAAAATTACGTTTTACTCCATGCACACACACCTGCACATGTGTGTTTTGTCTAGCTAGTAAAAGGCAAACAAAAATGTGTTTTGCTATTGAGAAAGTTTATTGTAGCTGTTTCATCTATTTGTATAATTAGTGCGCAACGCATTTAACGATTGTTCCCCATGTGATTCATATACATCTCTGAACTTGCAGGGTTTCTTGGACATTGACTATGAGATGCTACACAATGAGTCATGGGGCGAGCAAATGGCTGGATCCACAGCTGTCGTTGTCCTGGTCAAAGATAATACGCTATATTGCGCAAATGCCGGCGATTCGCGTGCCATTGCCTGTGTCAACGGGCGGCTGGAGACGCTATCCGTAGATCACAAGCCAAACAATGAATCGGAATCGAAACGCATTATCGAAGGCGGCGGCTGGGTGCAATTCAATCGTGTTAATGGCAATCTTGCACTCTCCCGTGCATTGGGCGATTTTGTGTTTAAGCGAGCGAACAAAAAGCCGGAAGAACAAATAGTCACAGGTAGAGAAGCGGCACAACAAAGAGACAAAGAATCATTGCATTGTTAACACCTTGTCCATATTATTTAATTGCAGCTTATCCGGATGTGGAGACGCGACAGATTCAGCCAGACTGGGAATTCATTGTGCTGGCCTGCGATGGCATTTGGGATGTGATGACCAATGAGGATGTTTTGCAGTTCTGTCGAACGCGCATTGGCCAAGGCAAACAGCCGGAAGAGATCTGCGAAGAGCTAATGAATCACTGTCTTGCACCCGATTGCCAAATGGGCGGACTCGGCGGCGATAATATGACCGTTGTACTTGTTTGCCTGCTGCACGATAAGCCCTACAGCGATTTGGTTGCACGCTGCGGGAACAGCAATCGATCGGACCACGATGAAGATGCTGTCATCACGGATACTCCGGCGACTGCGGGGGAAGCAAGCGAGAAGGCGCAACTTTAGATGGTTGTCGCTGACGTTGCCGTTGGATTCAATAGTCAAGCAAACCTGCTGCTGGGCAGCATTATAATTGTAGAGCGCCTTACAAATGCCATTAAGGCGACCTTTTTTAGATTGTGTACTTAATGCGTCTGTTTCCCGGTTAAGTTAACGCTATATACTCGTACAATCCTTACCCAATTTGTTGTGTCCACCCATCAGCCCAACCTTTCCTCCAAACGCATTAAATTTGTTGTTAAAACCAAAGTGAAAGGGCCAATTGCAATTGATTTCTCTTACTTTGTTCGTGACGCCCGTGTATTATCCGTCTAGTATTTAACGTACCTATGTATACCCATATACCTTGGTCCTGTAAGATCACATTTGTTGGGTTTAGTCCTGTAAATGCGCAGCAAAATAAAACTGTGTGTTTTTTTTTTCTAAATATGAGATTTCTATTTAGTCAAATGAAGATTGATTCTGGTTTGTAGTCCTGGAGCTAAATGAATATAAATTGCTACTAGAAATCTTTTTGATTCCATACTTTGAATTTTTGAATCAATCAAATCAATATCGTAAAAGGGTTTACTTCAGTAAAAAAATAGAATTTCTTTAAATCAGACGACTTCTTTTGGCTTCCAAAGCTGATAACTGGCTAACACCCAAATGGATGGATCCAAACCCATTCTTGCCGTCTCTTTCAAAATTACTTAAATTTTAACACACCTATTACTTCATTTACCTAAGAACCAATTTAAATTCCAATAAGTACGTAACGTCTTACAAATTCCGATAATATACTGAATTTTCGTTCTGATTCTAAAACTAACCAGATCTTGATTTAAGTTCTTTTACTCAGTCTCTTTATTTCCATTTCGTACGATAAAAAAAAGGTATAATATTCCAAGAACTAACAATATCTATGCGCGATATTCCAATTATAGAAACAAACTCTAAACTATAGATCAGCTAATGTGTATATATAAGGTATAACTTTTTTGTAGGAACATCAAAAATCGTTGTGAATTGCATTAGGGAAACGATTTAGATTGGGGAAACAAAAACCCACTTAGTCAAGCTAGAGGCCTTTTTACATCGCAATAATTATATATAATAAAAAAATTCTAAAAAAAAAAAAAACAAAAATATTTTATTGCGAGTTATCTAATCTTCAGTTTATACTGTGTATATATTAAAATATATAGACATATACGAGGGCAGTTTGAAAAATTTGCAGCAAAATACAACAAAATTTAACAAACTTATATACATGTTAGTTTAATGTTGTTCAGACTGCGTATAATACAAATATATATATACATATTCATATATACATATATAGATAATTTTTCTGACACCCCCTGGAAGCAATTTTCGACTTTGTTTACAGCATCTTTTTTTTGCTGTTTTCTGTTATATTTATTGTTTTTTTTTTTTTTTTGACATGTTTTATAATCTTTTTTCGTTTCTGGTTTCTCGTTTTTCCATTTCTTCTTCGTCTAACTACAATTTAATCTACATTTATGTTTTGTTTGCTTTGTGTTTTTTTTTTTCCTTTTATTTGATTCTCGTTTATATGATACATACAATAAAATAAAATATGCATTTATGATTTGTTTTTGTCCGCTGTTATAATATGGTTTTTCATTTTATCATATTTTCACTATAGCTTTTGTTTTTTTTCTTTTAGTCTGAGCTCGTTATAATGTATATATGTATATATATTAATATGTGTTTATATTTGCTTATACATATACATATATACTATGTAACGAGCTTTACATTTCACTCTTAAGTATAGAGAAAAAGTGAATCACGCTGTTGATGGTTTGTTGTTATTGGTGTTTTGTGTTGTTGTTGCTGTATGGTAATGTTTAATATAATTTATGTATACTTGCTGCATAGGTAATATTGTTTAGTTAAATGTTACATTTTTAGTTTATAGTGTAATCATATGCAAACCTTTTTTTTCTCGTTTTTGTTTTTTATTTTATCTTTACAATTATCAATTTTGGTTCAATTAATAATATTTATTATATACTTTATTACATGTGTTTCTGTCTCTCGCTCTCCTCTCTTTAACAGACGTCCTCTTTGTGTTTATTATTGAATGTGTTTTTTGTTTTGTTTTTATTTTAGTTGATAACAATGTGCGTAAGCATTTCCTATGCAATTCACTTGATAAAAAAAAAAAAAAGTTTTAAACTAAATTTTAGGCCCTTCACAAGCAGCGTAAAAGATAGAATAAAATAAGAAAAAATATGGAAATAAAAATGAAAAATTTATATGAAATATTGGTGGCAGTGGCCAAATAGATGATAGATAATGCATAAGGGATATTCCCATGCAGCTTGTTTATAGGTTTATATATATACATACAAATATTTGTATATATTGATATTATTATTATTAAGGCAGTGCCAAATGAAAATAATAATAGAGGCATCCATGTTGCCGCCCTTGTGAAAGGCATATTCTTTCAATAATAAATAATAATGGTTCACAATCAAAATAACCATAATAATAATAATAATAATGATAATGTCTTGAAAGCTATTTGAAATGACTGCACGACAATTTGTTAAGAAACGGACTGAAGTTTGTTTTAGGTCTGGCTGCATGTGTGTGTGTGTTTAGTTGTTGCATATAGATTTTGTATTATTGTTATTATATATCATATTATTATCAATATTATTAATTATCCTTCTGTTTTGGTTGCTTTTGTATAGTTTAACAAGGTGTCATGTGTGAATTGTCAGTGTCATATGCGCTGCTTAAATGTTTAAAAAATAAATAACTTAAGAACTGAGGCTTTACAATAACAATTTTCATTTTTTAAATTAATTTATTTGTTTGCCTTAAAATTATTTAACATCAACAATGTTTTTTTTTTTTGTTTCTTTTTATCTCTCCATTCATTATTCATATCATATCTAACTCTATAAACCCCCTCTCTCTCTCTCTCTCAGAGAGTATGATCGTTCCAGAAGCCTGATTCTTGTTCTTGTCGAGGGTTGGGGTAGAGCGGCTCTCAAAATTTGGGCAAACAGTATTCCAACCTATTCTCAGTTTATTTATTTATTTTTTTTTTTTTTACATGCAATTGAAGAACTCTCCCAGTTGCATAATATCACACAGCACCCATTGAAAGGCCATGCTAAAGACCCCACACCTCGTTCATCGAGCCAGACTTCTGGACAGCTGCCACCATACTCATTCTGCCAGCCATCATCATAAAGTGCATTCTCTATACAGCGCACACACACACAGCTTCAAAACCAATTCGAATCAATGTATGAGTGAGAGTTGAGGAAATTGATGGAAGCAGTGAAGGCTGATCAACTATAAACTATGAATTTCATGTGAGTATGTGTGTGTGTGTGTGTGACAGAGAGAGTGTGAGAAGAGAATATAAAGATACTGTGTATATATGTGTGTGCGTGTGCCTGTGTGTATGTACACACCACTGAGCAAGGGGGATCAGCAGAAGCGGCTCCAATTGCAAACAAATTTAGCTAAATATCTCAAATTGGATTTTTAGCGGATTTTGTTTAATTGAAGTTTGTCTGTGCGCCTGCTTGATCATAAATTGTTTAACAAATAAAGTTTAATCCTAGTATGTACTAAGGGGCAGCAGTTGTGTGAACTTAAAGCAAACACCATTGCGGCTACTCAGTGGGGCGAGGATACAGAATTTGTGGCATGTTCATATATGTATATATATATGTACATATACATATGAGTATATATATTTATATATATATACACATATTTATAGTATAGGCACTTAGCATATTCGATTGTTTTATAGAATCAAAATATATATTTTTATTTTAAATGAATACACACACCCACACACACACACATACATATATATGTATATATAATATAATGATGCATGTCGCAAGTTTCGCGAACTGGGTTTCGGGGATTATATATCTATATATATATAGCGCTTGCAGGATGCATTTGGTATACTATTTAATTGAGAGAACTCACTCGCATAGAAGAAATTGGATTATGAACCCAATAAGAATTATCTTGTGTTTCTATTTTTTTCTAATTGGAAGGAGACGTTCGTCAATTGTTGCATATGCCTAACTGTATATGAGGGATTATCTCTTAACATATGGCTTAATGCTAGCATTAGCTTAAGGGGCTGTATGTGTAGTATGTATATATATATATATAAGCATAACGTCTTCCGATTTGTATGCCTTAAGTTTAATTTACATTCCTAAACACTTGAACTTCAATCAAAAAAGTCACATAAAGCATTTTGTGCGAACAAAAATAAAATCAAATAACAAAAGAAAAATAATGAAAGCAAAATAAAAATTAAAAACAACAAATTTATGGATGAGCATTAGTTTAAAAAGAATATGTTTTAAGAACTTTTTTGACATAACTCATATGTAAGAATATAGGTTATATAGTTATATATATATAAATGTCGATTATATATATATATATATATAGATAATTTTAAATGCCTATTTGTGTTGTTCTAGACCGAATAGAAAGTTCAATGTGTGTGTGTTTTTATTTTTGTTTGTTTGTGTATTTAGTTTATGGCACCTTTTTGTTTTGTTTTGATTTTTTTTTAGTTGTTAGTGTCGTTGTTTATACAAAAATATTTTTGTATGTTTTGTTTTTCATTAATATTAAATAGTTTTTCCTGTCTACGCGTTATAAAATTTTCTTTAGTTATCATACCAGTTAAACATCAATTGTTTTGTTGTTGTTCTTGTAGTTGTTTTTTTTAAATGTGTGAAACCATCAAACTGAGAAAATTGCTTTTTATATATGTGAAAGAAATGCAATTTGAAAATGTATGCAAGTATTTCCATATACATTTGTATAAATACATAAACATATCATACGAGAGTTGTGTGTGTGTGTCTGTATGTGCCAGTCTGTGTTTGGGTGTGTACAAGGCTCCACTAGGATGTGAAATAAGTACAAAAACAAATTCCAAATGTTCTAGGTTAACTAATACGCTATATCAAGAGAACAAAAAAACTTCCATGGTTGCAAAACTGACAAATGTAAATTATATATATGTGTATGTATGTATGTATGTATGTGTATGGGACTAGCTTATATAGCCGGTTCTATAAATAAAAGGGTAGAACTTTCATATAGGCTATATACTCATGCATGATTTACTTTTGTTTCAATAAGCAAATGAAAATGAACGACGATTCATAATGAAGCATCACTAGCGATGAGTAATTCGTTATTAATAATAATTAATGCTATTGTTGTTGTGTTGTTTCGATAATTAGCTAACATCTCGCGATCGTATGCGACTTGGCTGATTCCAATCAAAACATACTTTACATTAATTGTAATTGTAAACTTAACTTGGGCATATAAACTCACATCTTCCTCTCTTTATATATAGATATTTTAT